TTGAGATGTTGGAATTTTCTAAGTATTTTAGAGATAAATTTCTTGTCAAATATTTTTCCAAGTTTATAAATTCTCTTTTTGTTCTTTCAGAAAAGTCTTTAGATGCACATACAGATTAAATTTTTAGAAGATCCCTATTGTCCTAGTTGACATATTTGATAATCTATTTATGCCATAAATTAGGACACCTAAATTTGCCCCAGTTTTTCATTTGTTGATCTTTAGTTCTCGATTTTATACCTAGATCCTTATCCGTTTGTTTTTCTAGATTTGCCAGGAGCTTGTTAATTTTATTAATCTTTTGAGAAACCCAAATTCTTGTCTTGTTAATTCTATTATTTTTCTGTTTTCTATGCTTTCCCTTTCTCTGGACGCTATAGGTTTTGTCTCCTTTTGACATTAATGTGTTGATTTTGATTTCTTCTTTTTTGAAAGTATGCTCATTGTTATAAATTGGCCCCTTACACCTGCTTTCAAAGTTTCCCAAAGATCTTGATATGTTTTCATTCTCATTTGTTAATTTTATAGTGTGGTTATCTGAGAAGATGCTTTATAGTATTTTTTAATTTGTGGAGGCTTGCTTTATGACCTAACAGTTGGTCTATTCTGGAGAATGTGCCTTATGCACTGGAGAAGATTATATATTGTGCTCCTGATGAGTGGAATTTTCTCTATTGGTCTTTGAGATATAGTTGGTTAATATCATTGTTTATCTTTCTGCATCCTTGTTGACCTTCTTTCTGGTCATCTGTCCTTTGTAAGTGATGTATAAATGTCTCTTTTGTGCTAAAAGGGTTCATTCCTTGGAAGAGGCTATCATGCTTGGAAAGGTTCAGAGTCACCAAAGTAGAGGAAGACCCTCAACACAGTGACTGCAGCAATGGGATCGAGTTTGTCACAGATGGTGAGGATGGCACAGGATAGGACAGGGCTCAGACCTATTATTCATAGTGTCATTATGAATCTTAACTGAACAGCAACTAAGAACCACAATATAATTACTGTGGAGTTGTCTATTTCTCTCTTAAAATCTGTTGAAGTTTTATTTATCTTGCACATCTGTCATTAGGTGTGTAGATATTAACCATAGTTATGTCCTCTTGTTCAGTTGACCTTTTGATCGTTATATAATGTCCTTCCTTGTCTCTTATGCTGATTTTTATTTTGATGTCTGTTTGATCAGAAATTAATGTTGGCATTCTTTCTGTTTTTGATTACTGTTTGTATATTTTTCCTCCACTCTGATATTGAATCTGTTTTGTCCTGTGTCTAAGATGTGTCTCTTGTAGACAACATAAAGGCGGGTCAATTTTTATTAACCATTCTGCTACTCATTTTCTCTTGACTGATGTATTTAAACTATTTAAATACAAGGTATGGTTTTATTCCTGTCATTTTGCTGCGTTCTGTTTGTGGTATTGCTGATTTCTTCATTCTACCTGCTTTTCTGTGCCGAGTTCCTTTTATTATGGCTTTTTGTTTCCTTCATTGTTCTTGTTTGGGTGCTTACTGAGTTTTTATGGTTTTCCTTTTTTTGTTTGTTTTTTTATGAGAAAATTTACTGTTTTATTCCCAATCTAAAACAGTTCACGTTATTTCAAAATCACCTTGACTTCCTCAATATTTGTTCTATCAAATTAAAATTAACTGAAATAGGACTATACAGGACAAATCCTTCCTGTAGCCACCCCTCACAAGGATAACAAGGTGCGACATAAAATATAGTTTCTAATCCTTATCAAAGTAGTGCTGCAACATGAAACTTGATTCTCACATGGCTTTGCTCTTATGGTAAGATGGAAATTTCTCTTATGCCTGAGGACTCAAATCAGATAAAATCTGATGTCTGAAAACTTGACCACCAGTTATATGACATCAAGCTACATGGATCCCTGCTGGTGTAGTGCACTGAGTGTTGAGCTGTGAACTGAAAGATCACTGGTTTAAATCCACCAGTTACTACCCTGAAAGAAGATAGTCCTGTCCCATCCCCACCCCTAAGGATTTATAGCATCAGCTATCAATGGCAAGTCGCCATGAGGTAGAATGGACTTAATAGTAGTCAGTTTTACATAGAATGTATGCATATAATAGTAATGTTTAGAGGAGACAGCACTTACGCAAATCCATTAACTTGTCATGCAGACTGACTTTATAAAATAGAATATCTTGTAATAAATAAATCTTTTAAAATATGAAAAATACATTCAAAATAAAAGATAAAAATTAATCCTAATCCCAATGGCAGGAGAACCTCTGTAAATGCGACTGTATATTTTCTGTCTTTTTTTTTTAATTGGCTTATTGGTTATATACAAAGTTCGTATACATTGTGTTTCACACCTACTCTTCATTCATATTATGTTTCATATAATCATTTATGTGCATTATTTTATAAAATTAATCACTGTTGAATTTTGTCCAACATTACCCTGTCTTTTCATCCAGATTCTTCCCAACACCCCCCAAACTGTGCAGCCGTGTGTGTGTGTGTGTGTGTGTGTGTGTGTGTGTTTCTTATTTTTCTCTTTTTTTGTTGTTGTTTTTGGTTTTGTTATCTTAAGACCTTGGAACCACATTGTACACACTAATCTGCTCCCAAAAGGTTGTCACTAAATGCTGGGGTTTCTATCCATAGTCAGTTGCCAGTAAAACAGATGAATTGCAATATCCAAAGCACTTGCAGATCCAGAGAGAGCAGTCTTCTCAAAAACTGCCTTCCCTTCTAAGGTTGAGTTTTGGTTTTTATACTTAAGGCTAGGTCTTAATTTACTTAACGTACTACTTTTGCTAGTTCAAAGCTAGCTGTGACACTGATGTGCCAAATGTGATAATGGTTACCCATGGTGGACAGTGTTTGGTGGCGCTTCTCGATTAAAACAAGCTTGGAAGCAACAAGCTTGGAAGCAAGAGTGGCATCCACTTCTAAAATGGCTTTCTTCTGGAAACTCAGTGAACATGGAAAAACGACCAAAGTTATCCAAGTGTTCAGGTCTTTCATTCATAGGGTCTATGACTCAAGGCACTTAACAACAACAACACAGTTCAAAGCTATAGGATTTTTACACCCAAACCAGTTTACAACATACATGGGTTAAATCCTAATCTGCTTAACGTATCACTGTTTCTAGTTCAAAGCTTTAGGATTTTTACATTCGAAGAGAAATTATTTTCTCGTAACTAAGCTAACAGTTCAGTTACTAGAAAACAAACTTGGGTAGAAGTAAATATACTTATAACTGAGAATAACAGTTTTAAAGACATCAATTCTAATCCAATAAAGATGCATTTTCCCTCCAGGTAAATAAACAGCTTAAGATACAGTTCACATATGAGAAAAGTAAAACTTTAAGATTCTCACATATAGTTTCTAGTTAACACAATTTGGGGTACAGTTTACAAATGACTAAGAAAAGATAAAGACTAATTCAATGGAAGATTCATTTCCTCTCATGGTAAACAAACAGCTTTAAGGTATTCTGCATGATTGAAGAAGTTACATATGAGTCTGAAGACCATATGTTCAAATAATCCTGAATCCATTAATACTGCCCTATCAAGGTCACAGCCTTGAAAACTCTGAAGCACAGTTTTACTCTGACATACATGAAGTCACCATGAATCAGAATAAGCTCCATAGCAACTAATCACAACAACAACATACTGCCTTAAGGAAAAATCTTTTTTATTTTAGTAACTCTGGGAGTCTATATTCTGAGTCTTTGTTTTGGAAGAAGGACTGTTGACTTGTTCTAAAAGAATATACATCAAATACGTTCAGGATATATAGTCAGTTTGCTGTTCTGGAAGTAACTGACTAGATAAAAAAATTCATTGTAAAAACAGGACTAATTTGTCTGTTTGACATGGATTTCAGTGGCTTGACAGTGAGCTTCAGCACAGCAAAGACTGGAATGTAGTACAGTGAGGCTAGCATGGAAGCAGAAAGGGTTTTATTTTTTGTAGAGGGTCCCTGTGAGTCAGAGTTAACTCAAGGGCACCTGACAACAGCAGCCTAGCACCTAAGGAACCTTGGTGACACAGGGTTAAACAGCTCCTGCTAATTGAAAGTTCAGTAGTTCAAAACCACCAACCCCTACATGGGAAAAAGGCATGACAGCCTACTTCTGTCAAGATTGCATCCTTGGAAACTGTAAGCATTTACGGTGTGCTATACGTTGTAAGTCATCATTAAAGAATTTGGGGTTTAGTATAATGGAGAGTGGAAGATTTTAGCAGTGTAATAACATAATCTGACATGTATTTTTAATTCATTATGACAAAAAGTTGATCATTACTCTATATTGGGAGGAACATTCTTCTAAGTGGTACAGCACTCTTCTGTCAACATGCTGTACTGAGGCAACCTGGTTGCTGTGATGCTGAACCTTGTGCTCTTGGGGTGTCAAATGCCATAAAAGTTACCCATGGTGGACAGTGTTTGGAGCTCCAAGTTTAAGACAGGTTTGGAAGCAGGAGTGGCATCTTTTTTTCTAAACAACATGCCTCTATGAACTTTGATAAATAAAGATAGTTATAGAAAGGCTTTTCAGGCCTTTTGTTCATAGGGTTGCTATGAGTCATGCTCAGCTCGATGGCAATCAACAACAATAAGGGTGTCTACGATTTATACAGGTTTTCAGATCTTGGTTACTTGGCAACTAAACCTTATCCTTTCTTAAAATTTACTAGGTAAGAGACGAGGTCAGTCTTAAACGTCAGTCAAGATAAGATATATATAGCTAGATACTATTGGTTTGAAATAAGAACTATTCTGATATCCAAGCTCATTAGTAACTTAATTTTGACCGTTTTCATTCTGTTAGATCAGTAACAAAAATACTTTTATTACCCATTGGGGCTCTTTCTGAACAAGGCGTGTCTAGGGGCCCTTGGTAATAATCCTAAAACTTTCTAAAGGGTAAATATGAAGAGAAGTGTGTATCTGAAGGTCTTGCACTGCTCTACTAACTTGTTTGTTTCTTTCAATTTTGGGTTAGGTTTCCACACCCCAGTATCCTCCCACTGTGCTCCTGGGTCATTCTCAAGAGGTTACATCTGTGTGCTGGTGCCCATCAGACTTCACAAAGGTTTGTAAAGATAAAGTAGATCCCAGATTTTTACGTTTTTCTTAAAATTCATTTGAAAGTTATGTAGACTTTTATGTTTACATACATTTCAAAATATCTTGATGTCACCTAGGGACCTATATCAGAGTTCATCTACCCATAAAGACATTGCATTATATACATAATAGTAAAGATGGATTTCTGCTTCCCTAGAGTCATTTCTTAAAGCATTAAGTATTTTTAAAAAAAAATTATTACATTTCATTTTAAATTTAAGGTGAAAATGAGTATTTTTCACTTTCTGTACATTATAATGTGATGTATTAAAAGTTACATTCATAGGCCATCTTGAATTTTCACATATGGTAAACAAAAATGTATTCTAAAAGTTTAATTAAATTATCTTAGTTTTAAAAGGTAGACAAATATTTTAGACACTAAACAGAAAAATATGTTCACCTTTTTTTTTTTACGGTCTGCATTCTATGTGAATTCTTAAAAACAAATCGTGAATACCACTGAAATTCAGAAAAGTAAAAAAACATAAATAAACCATATGTATGTTACACACACATAAAACAAACCCTATTTGTATGTTTTATGTATTTCTGTAAGAAGCTCTGGTGGACTAGTATTAAGGAGTTGCATCGCCAATTCGAAAGCACACTTTTTTTTTTTTGAAAGCACACATTTTGAATTCACCAGCTGCTCCATGGGACAAAGATGGGCAATCTCCTGTGTGATTTACAGCCTCTGAAAACCCACTGGAGAGTCAGTGAGTCAGTTTCAACACTATAGAACATAACAAAAAACATTTTCTTTTTGTATGAAATACATCTTCTCATATTTTGTATGAAATATATGAATTTCATGTAGTAATACTCACCAGCGTTCACTCAATCCCCTCAGCCCTCATCACATCTGGTCTTTGGCAGGATAGCTCCTTATTGTGGAGATCTCCTTTTCCACGTGTATGAAGTTTTGAAGTTTTGTTCCTATCTGTTTTTATATCTTCTGCAAACTCCTAGCCGGGTCTAGATGTGACACCCTTTGTAGCTTTTCAGTACCATTATGGATTTGTTTTAATTTTTACACTTCTAACATTTTATTTTCTATAATCCTTGCAGTTGATTTTATGACAGACCATTTTTTCGCCCTAAATTGCTATATATAGCCACAGTTTTCCTCTGAAATGCCACATAATTTTTAGGGTGTTCCTGTGAATTTGCTGCTGTTTTTTAACATGGAGTATTACATACACCTTCACAGAATTTACTAAGGAGAATGTTTTGTTTGGGTTTTAATTGGAGAGACCTAAATTTACATTCTAGCTGTTTAATTTAATTGTGGCAATCTTGGACAAATAAATCTTTTCCCATTTTGTAGATAAGGACATGGGTTTTCTGTTTTGTGACAAATGAGATTAAGAATGTAAATGGCTCAGTCAGGCACATGTAGTAGGTACTTAGGAAATAATAACTGTTATTTCTAAACTACACGAATTCTAGACATTTCTAGACATTCCTTGTTGAGCAATTAAATATGTGTGTCTTCTTTTTGCCTCCCAGTAAGGAAAGGAAAATTTGCCAGTCTCTTGGGGGCCAAGATATAAGAGAACGTGTGTTCCCTTCTCCCTCTCCCACCCGCTTTAGTAACTGAAATAGAGAAATTACATAAACAAATGCTGGAGAATAGCGCTGGTACCAGTGGACATTTGCCACGAGATCGTCAAGCTTAGATTTTCTCTGCCATAAAAGGCTTGGGATCAGGAACAAGAATGGTCAGATATTTTTAAAGGGGCAAAGGTTATTTTTAACTTCTTTCAGCCTAGTGAACTTGTTGATTTCCCAGATTGTTTCTTTACCTATCTCAAGGGGGGAAACTCAAAAGAATTGTTTCATTCTACTTGTCACAGTCTTAAGAGGCATGGATTAAGTCTGATCTTGGAAATGGTCCCATTAGTTTAACAATTAAAGAGAATAGGCAGAATTCAGAAGAAAGTTGTAGAAGTAGAAAGTTGGTAAAATACACTGTTGACTATTTAACAGAGAGATGGAATAAAAAAGGTTTTAATTACATATTTCATACTAATAGAGAAAATTACAAAGCTAATAAATGAATTTGATTTTATACCAGAAGTTTAGGGTAATGAAAGAGAGAGCAGAATGTGTACGTTTGTCTAAAGAAGCCAGTAGAATCAGCTTTGACATTTAGAATGGTTTCTGAAGACAAAGAATGGATATAAATGATACTCTAACATCTTATCAACAAGATAAGTCTTGAGTCATGAGCCCTTATGACCCGTCTACATTTTATTATGTTGTCTGTCTTTGGTTGAAACTTGTTGGTTGAGAACTCTCTCCTTTGCTTTACTTCTCAGATTGCTACATGCTCTGATGACAATACACTAAAAATCTGGCGTTTGAATAGAAGCCTACAGGAGAAACCAGTGGGAGATAGGTCTTCTTTAGTGGGTTGGGCCTCTCAGAAGAAAAAACAGGAACAAGCTGGCCAAGGTAAAGATCTCATGCGTTATTCTGAGCTCTTTTATAAATTGTGTGGTCTAATCCTACAGTACAAAATTGTAAAACTAGATTTGCTCTTGTTTTGATATGTTTTTGCGTGATTTTAAAGAATGAAACGATTCTTATGACATTCAATCTTTTCATTATCTTAGGTTTAAAGCCCGGACAAGGCATTGTAGTTCAATGGTTGACTTACTTAACAAATACTTACTGAGCCCCTATATTGTTTTAGGCATTATTTTTACTAGTTGGGCACACAGCAATAAACAAGAGTCAGAAATCCAAGGCTGTAAATGCTGCCTGCACATTATGTGTGAGAAGCAATAAGTAAGATAGTGTGTCAGATAATAAAAGAATCACATAACATGAAGACGAGGGAATGAAAGAATAGACTGTTCAAATTTTCAATTAAATGGCAAGGAATGGCTTCAATGAGATGATATATAAGGAAGACCTAAAGACTAGGGAGCTGCGTGGATAAAGATGTTAATGTAACTCTGGTAACTGCAGCAAACAATGAGGAGGAAACTGCAGAGTAGAAATAAAATTCTTACAGGACTTTGGGTTTTTGTAAAAAAAGCTTTTGAGCAAAGAAATGCCATGTTCTGATTTTTGTTAATTTGATCATCTTTGTACTTATGTTGAAAAGATTTATAAGAGTAAGATGAAAGCAGGAAGCTTATGAAGAAAGCATTTGAAATAATTTAGAAGTAGTGATAATAACTTGGAACAGAATGGTAGCAGAAGATAGAGTCATGAAATTCTCAACATATTTACAAGATAGGCCCAATAGACAGGGAATTCAGGGTTGGATAGGAAAAAGAATTACCAAGGATGACTCTTTTTTTTTTTTTTAATTTGAGTAGCTGGAATAATGGAGTTGCCTTTAACCTACATCAGAATGACTGCTAGAAAAAGACGTTTGAGAGGGACAGCTAGAGTTCCATTTGAGTATCTTCTTTTCATCATTATTAGACATTCAAATTGTGTCAGATAGTTGTTTAGAATTATTAAAGTCTGCAGTTCAAAGCCAGAATTATAAATTTAAGAGTCAGTCTTCACATAGGTGGAGATGAAAGAGAATATATCTAAAATTTAACTTTGAAGCACTCTAATGTTTAGAGGTTGCAGAGGTAAAGAACACTGACAAGAAAAACCTGGTTTTGCTGCCTGAAAACTCAGTTAAAAAAAACATTTACGTGAGGAGAGGGCATGAATTTAGTCACTATGTTTCTGGAATGTTAGGTAAGATGAAACCTAAGAATTAACCTTTGAATTTGCAATATGGAGGGTGAGGGTCATTTAGTGATTTTACCATGGTTTTGGTGGAGTGGTAGTGCCCTAATTGCTATAGTACGGGCATATATGGAAGAAGAGAACTGGCAAATCATAAGTATAGATGGTGTATATACCTTTTCATGGAGTTTTGCAATCAAGGGAAAGGAAAGAGAAGCAGTAGCTGGAGGAAGATTGGAATTCTTTTGTTCTCTTTTGTCCCCCTAAGTTTCAATATAGTATTCTGTGCATAATTAGAAGGATTCACTTGAGAGGAGGGGAAATATGTTGGGGCTTTTTAAGTAGGCGTAAGGCAGTGATATGTAATACACAAATGGAAAGTTTTGCCTTTGTCAGGAGCATAGAGTGCATATAACAACATGAATGTAAATAAGTGGAAAGATGGGATGGGCAAAACTTGAGAAGATACTTCTCTTTATTTTCTTAGTGTAAAAAGAAGCAAGGTCATCAACTAAAAATAAGAATGATAAAAACACATGAGTACAAGTTGAGAAGAGGTAAAAAAGTTTGAAATAATCATCTGGAAGAATAAATGTTGTAGCTATGTGACATCAAGTTGCCTGCGACTCATAGTGACCTATGTACAGCAGCTCTGAAGCATGCCCTGAGCCAGTCTCACTGACTCTGACTCACGTATCCCCATTGCCCCAGTTACTGTATCAATCCGTTTCATCCGGGTCTTCCTCTCCTGCACTGTCCCTCCACCCTTCCAAGCATGATGTCCTCCTCCAAGTACCGGTCCTTCCTGGCCACGTGCCCAAAGTGTGTGAGATGGACCTTCATAATCCTAGCCTCCAAGGAAAAACTTGGTTTCACCCTCTCCAAGACAGACCTGTTTGTTTTCTTGGCAGTCCATGGTAGGTTCAAGACTCTTCTCCAGCACCACAACTCAAAAGGCATCAATTCTTCTGTCATCTTTAGTCAATGTCCAACTCTCTGAGGCATAATAAGTAGTTGTGAAGACCATGGCCTGGATCAGGCACACATTACTTTCTAGACTGACATCGTTGCTTCTCAGTATTCTGGAGGGGTCCCTGACAGCAGATTTTCCCAGTGCAGTTCATCTTTTGATTTCCTTACTACTGGTGCCAAGAGTGTTAATTATGGAGCCAAGCAAGCTCTGTTAACAACCTCATTCTCTTCTCCATCTATCCTCATGCTGTCAGTTGGCTCAGTGGTGAGAATCTTTTTCTTCTTGATATTGAGCTTTAATCCATATTGAAGACTACTGTCCTTGACCTTCTGCAGCAAGTGCCTCAGGGTCCTCCTCAGTTTTAGCAAGCAAGTTTGTATCATCTGCATAATGCAGGTTGTTGAGTCTTCCTCCAGTCCTGATGCCACATTTCTCCTCCTAAAGCCCTGCTTCCCAAATTTTCTGTTCTGCATATAGATTGAAAAGATAGAGTCAGAACACTTCCCTGATGCAACTCCTTTCCTGATTTTGAATCATGCAGTGTTTCTTTGTTCTGTTTTGAGGCCTGTTTTCTGGCCTGAAGAAACCTGGCAAAAAAAATAAAGCCCCAGGAATTGAATTGATATGTTTCAACAAACAGATGCTGCTGTGGACATGCTTCCCAACCTATTTCCCTCATAATCCCCACTCCCAGTACCACAGTCTAGGAGTCAATAATGAATAAACAAACCTCTTGCTGCCAGTGTGGCTCTAAATGCACCTTTTGGCTGGGGTACGGGCTCTTTATCTGCCTTCTGTTCTGGGACAGTGAGAGGCTGTGCCAGTCTCACCACCTCTGGCCTTTTCAAAGAATTGCTCACAGCTCTATGCCCTTATGTCCCATTTTCTGCCCTCTACACAGCTACCTTGTTGTTATAATACTTTTTTCTTAAGTTTATAAGTTATTATATGTTGTTGAATCAGAACAACTCATAGCTGACCTCCAGTGGGTTTTCAGAGGCAGTAAATCACCTAGGAGGTGATTGCCCATCCATCTCTCACGGAGCAGCTAATAGATTCCAATTGCATGCCTTCAGGATGCAGCATAGTTTTTCAACCACTAGGCTACCAGAGCTCCCTTTTCTTAAGTTTAGAAACTATAGAAGAATAATGAGGAAAAGCTCATCGGTATTTATACTGTTGTTACTGTATACTGTCAAGTCAGAACTGACCCATAGCCCTCCCATTGGGTTTTCTTTAGGGAGCTCTGGTGGCCTAGTGGGAGGGAGGGAGCTGCACTGCCAATGCAAAGGCCCACAGTTCAAAACTAACTACCACCTGCTCCGTAGAAGAAAGATCGACAGTCTCTTGCTATATGATCTGCCTCTGAAAACCTGCTGAAGGGTCAGCTCTGAATCACTTCTGACTTAATTGCACATAACAGAAACAAATGTATAAATTTACCTGACATTCATGGGGAAGTCCCCATTTGTGCATACTTTTTAGATAGCCATAAGTTATACTTTAGCACTACTTGAGTTCTTGAAACTTTTTCACTTGATTATGATATGGGTAAACATTTTTGGTGTTTTGTGTGTACATCTTTTAAAATATTCCACTGAGTAAATGTTCTGTTGTTTACCTAGGTTGTTTTTCCTTGTAGTTGCTATATAATGTTTTGTTAAAAGTTAGTCACTTCACCAAGGAAGACATTCAGATGGCCAACAAGCACATGAAGAAATGTTCAAAATCCCTAGCCCTGAGAGAGATGCAAATCAAGACAACCATGAGATATCATCTCACTCCAGTAAGACTAGCAAAATTTAACAAAACAGCAAGCAGCAAATGCTGGCGAGGTTGTGGAGAGACTGGAACCCTTATTCACTGTTGGTGGGAGTGTAAAATGGTGCAACCACTGTGGAAAGCATTGTGGCGCTTTCTCAAAAAGTTGCAAATAAAGATACCATTTGACCCAGCAATTCCACTACTGGGAATATACCCTAAAGAGACCATAAATTACATCCAAGGAGATATATGTATACCCATGTTTATCACGGCTTTGTTTACAATAGCAAGGAGTTGGAAACAACCTAAATGCCCATCAACAAACGAATGGGTAGAGAAGCTGTGGTATATTCGCACAATGGAATACTATGCTGCATTGAAATTCAAAACAAGGAACTCATGCAATATTATTCAAAATGGGTGACCGTGGAGGACATTATGCTGAGTGAGGTATCTCAGTCACAAAGGGACAAATGCTATATGGTGCTACTGTTGTAGAATGAGGCTAGCATTGGGATGGGGGTAAGACTGAGAAAAACTGGATGAAATATGTTTACGGCATTGAAGTCTATGGGGGAGAGAATAGTCTAAAAGCATTATATTTTAGGGCATTATTTTTATCGTAGGAGTATGCAATGAGGGTTGCAGAGTGGATTAGGTTTGGGGTAGGGGGTGGGATTTGGGGAGGTGCGGGGGGGATTGTGTACCAATGAGGGAGTTTTTCTTTTGCTTTTCAAGGAGAGGAGCAAACGGGGGGCGGGGGGGAGGTTTGTGCAGGGAGAAGGGTGCAACAATGAATGAATGGAATTAAAAAAAAAGAGAAATTATTCAGAAAAGGAAATGCAATGTTTCATATGACCTAGATAATGAAGCCATCTTCATGTATTGTTATCTCCACAACACTCAATTGATCTTACAGGTCAGCCCTATTATTGTGGAGATCAAATATATACGAAAAGACGTGAAAGTCTTGTAGACTGGCTATCACATATAGCAACAGAAATTCATTGTCTTCCAG